TAGACTGAACAGTGGAACAACTGGAACCAAACAACCAGTCGCTATGACGTGCACTGACCACCAGGGGGCGGAACATGGCGGGGGTTGGCCGCAGTGGGATGGTGGAGCAGATGAGGGGGCACCAGACCAAGGTGGGGTGCCAGTTGCTGTCATCGGGGCAAGCCTCTGGCGGTTACTGAAAATTCTTTGCTCCCACGCACCGTGGTCCCGCCCAGCGCTCAAACTTGCTGCCAGCGCCGGAGCCACTGCTTGCACCGCTGGTGCCTGGGGCCGTCAGCACATGGAATGGCGGCAGGAGCGGGGCTGCTGGCAGACAGGGGACTGGGGGCCGTGGTGGGAGGGGTTGGGCGTGGGTGTGGAGGATGGGCCGAGACCCGCCCCTGTGCCTACCACAGCCTCATGGCCCACAGTTCCTTTCAAGGTGCACAAATTAGTCACTGGGCTCCTAGTAATGTATATAGTCTCCCACTTCTCAGACAGTCTTACATCCAAATAAAGTAACTTTTCCTAAATAGTGTCAAGACTTTTTTTTAACTTCATGGTTATAAAAACATGATTATTATGCCTTTAGGGAAATAGAATTAAGAGCGCACCCCAAATAATAAATTGTCAAAATGACTTGAAGCCGAACCGGTTTGGCTCAGTGGATAGAGCGTCGGCCTGCGGACTCAAGGGTCCCGGGTTCGATTCCGGTCAAGGGCATGTGCCCTGGTTGCGGGCACGTCCCCACTGGGGGGCGTGCAGGAGGCAGCTGATCGATCTCTCTCATCGATGTTTCTGACTTTCTGTCCCTCTCCCTTCTTCTCTGTAAAAAATCAATAAAATATATATAAAAAAAAATGACTTGATTCAGTATCAGAATGTTTAGAGCAACCACATTCTGTACTTTATTGTTTAGATCAAGTGTTGGCAAACGTATTCGGTAAAGAAGACAGTAGATACTTTAGGCTTTGCTGGTCACCTAGTTAATGAAGCAACTACTCAACTCTACCACTGCATGAAAAGCAGCCCCAGACGAACAAACATGGCTGTTAAAAACAAACAAACACACAAAAACCAAAAAATATTTATTTACAAAAACGGGCAGTGGAGCAGATTTGGCCAACCTGCGATTTAGATGGAAGTATTTATCCAATAATAACAAAGGGACTACTAATAAGTTTAAGGCCAATTTACCTTTTACCAAGGAACCAGTATCTAATACAGTGTTCTTGGGGTCAATTATACATTTTAAAGATAAAGATAGGTAATACTGATCTTTATGAACATAGAATAACCTCTACTAAGGATTTAAAAATTTATTACAAAAATTCAGGGCACAAAATTTCATTTTGAAATGTTGCATTGCAGATTTCACAAAGAATATTAGTTACAGATCAAAATTCCAAGCAGAAACTCAAAACTTTTAGTTGGATAACTCCATGTTATTTCTATAGAGAGTTTAATGCTTAAATTCCTAGGAAAATAATGTGTTTGTTGAATTAAAGGTAATATCTGGAGATAAAGATGAAAGGTAAGAATAAGAATGGCCATTAAGAAGTGTCCAACTTATCATGTTACAAAATGTTGACCGTAAATCATCTCATCCAGGTGTAACTATAACTACCCAGAATTCATCTTAAGGAGAGGCACATCCCTGTACCTACAGGTCTACAAGACAGGCTCTGGAATCAACAGCCATCACCATCTCTTGGGTGTTTAATTGCAACTGAAGCTGCCAAATTCACAGGAACCTTACCTCTTTGTCTTATGATCCAAATGAATGAAGATTTTCCAGTCAAGGTTATAATTAATCACCACTTACAACCAGCTGTTTTACCCTGTGAAGTCTAGGGTGTATTTTCAGCATGAGGGGTGATGTACAACTCCTTTTGCGAACAGAAATACATGTACATGTCCCTGCTGAAAACGTAACCCAGTGAGTTTGCGTGTGAACGTGAAGGCGTGCTCATGTGCAGCCGTGTGCTAGAGGATGTTTCTCGTTCAGGCTTACTTTACGAGTCAGAACGTGTAAGCCTGGAGCCAAGGCAGGCAGAGGTCCTGTGTACAGAGGCACAGAAAGCAGCTCACTTAATCCTCTCTCGCCAGGAGTCGGGATTTTCCCAGAACGACATCCATTGTCGGCAATGGACGCACCAAAATAACGCCGGCGCCATGAGTTAACCACCTCTGTCCTCTTTTCACCTATTATATTTTTCATGCATCATCCAACTTCCCAACCTTCTTCCTGTTTCTTCACAGAATGCACGCTAGGTTCTTGTTTTTCTTCAGCACGAAGTTGAAAATGGAGTTGAGAAAAGGAGACACATGGTCAGCTGGTGATGTTAACAAGCTCCTTGCTGCCCTGAGAAGCTAGATGGAAATGGTTCAAGTTACAAGAGGGATCATCATCAGATCTGGGAGGACAAAGAGTAATTCATGAAGCTTCATTCCCTTCCCTCCCGCCCTCTCATTTGTTGATGATCCCTAGAGTCTGCCTTCACAGCAAAACCAAGACTAAGGAATCTGAAGCCACTGCTTTGCGCTCTTCACTCCATCCAGGTGCAGGAAGGCCAAGTGGGACTCACTCCAGCAAAGTGCAGGTGGCCCAGGTCAGGGAAGCCAGGAGTGGCTAACATAACCACAGCCTAAGCCAATGCTTTTCAGTATGATCTTGGAATTAACCTCAGCAACTAACACGGTGCTGGGCAACAGGTGCTTAGTAAAGACGGGTTGAATAAGACCTTTTCTTTTCTGCCAAGACCTTTTCTTTTCTTTCTACTTGAACACATAGGTGGAAGTCAGACAGAAGTAGTTAACTCTTTCAATGCCGGGAGAGCACGGATATACTGTACAGTCATCACATCAAGTCAATGTATTTCTCTAAAATGTTCAATCACAGGTTCCTGATTTCAGAGTTCTTGCTAGATGCTAGCTAAGGAATATTTTTAAAGGCAACCGTAATCCGTGTTGAAGTTAGAACCATTGTAAATGTTAACAGAATAGATGAATTAATTAAGAACCCTAGCACCAACGTGTAACAAGACATCACAGTCAGTCAAGCAAACACATGTCTCAGCCATGCAATCGCAGATGGGTAATGATTCCAGAGCAAACTCAACTTTGAAGAAAGAGCATTTAGTTAATGGCTTCCTTAATGCTAAAAATTGGGATAAACCCAAAGTAGAAAGAGTGAGGAGGATATATTTTAAGTACGAATAAAATTTTAAACCTCAAGAGGACCATCAAGCTACACAGCACTGTGCAACTCCTTTGATCTTTCAGACAGGAGTGGGGAGGATTAAAAGCAGGGGCAGAAGTAATTCTGTAGGACTCAAAATGTATGTCTAGAATGTGACTTTAAAATACATTATCTCGAACTGGGTTAAGGAAATCCCAGAGAATAATTCATACCATTACAATTACAATAAAAAAACTACCATATAGAGAAATAAAAATATTCACTTTCTCCAGATTTTAAGAGACAGGGTTTTAAGGAATTATGATAATCATGTCTTTTTCTTTTTTTTAGTTATACCAATCAGAGACTTCTCAGGCAAAAGTGAACTGCTGGGTCTACAACTCCCTTCTCTCTCTATAACACCCTGTGTATAAGGCCTTTTCTATGTTCACCAGTGCACTTGTCCCCATTTCCAGCTCCCTATGAGCCAGCCGTAGCACAGGCTCTCCTAGCAGTCTCTAAACACAAACCACTTCTTTCAGGGAAGAATGAAACAAAAGCGGGCCTTAAATGAAGATCCACCCAAGCGACTGTCCCAGCATCTCTTTCAATTAATTGCAATTCCAATTTCTGTAGTTCACATGTTGTGTCATAAGCAGACTTATTATGAATCCTTCTTTTTAGATTTATAAAAAGGTCAGATTTCATAAGGCTGAGTTTACACTGAACTGTAAGTGATGGAAGAGTAGCATGAGTAAGAGCTCAAATGGGTAAGTGAGCTGAAACCACACCATACTCCAAGAAGGGTCCTGACACAACAAAATGCAAAAGCCAAAAATAAGCACGGTGCAGGAACACTGAGCTACTCATTTTGCTCAGTGTGAGGCCAGTTCCATTATGGCTCAAATCACAGGATCTACTCGGTGAGCTTTGTCGTCATAACTGGGGGCAGGGAGGGCTCAGGTGTCCATCTCGCTGCAAATGAAAGAGTACTGCTGGGTTACCTGGATGCTTCACCTCTGGTAGCAGAAAGGAGGAACAGAAAATAGGAGCTAGAAATGTAAACTGTCCCCACAGGACCCTTAAGACCTGGATCCAAGATTCAGATGCCTTGGGCCCACATCTCTCATAGGCTCATCCTGTTACATCTGTTTATCCAAGAGCCAGGCAGGTTTTCTGCAAAGCAAACCCTGCACACCTTGCTCCCTCCTTAACAGGAGATGATGTCTAAGCGCAAGGCTTCCCCACCTCTATTTTCCCGCTAGATAGCGTATTTTTTCTAAAGAAATAGGTATTTAAAGACAGGTCTATTTCAGACATAACACTGGAACTGAATACCAACTAGCGCTGCTCCATATGAAGTTGTTTTACTGGAACAGAAACTTAAGCTAAATCATGTTTTATGAAAAGGTGCTATACAACCTTGGTTTTCTAATTAATTTTTCATTTAAATTAATTCTCAGTTAATCCAAAACATTCTTTGTTTTCTGCTATAGAATTTTACAGAGAATTTTCAAATGTAGAACCACACATTTGTACCTCAAAGGATTTTTTGTTTTTGTTTTCACTGTGAAGAGCACTTGAATTACTAAATTCCCTGTTGTGATACACTTTCCTAAATGAGAAAAAGGGGATATTTGTATATTAGTTTAGCTGGTATATCTCTTTGCCAAAGTTTAAAATATGTTTGAGACATTTATAATAATTAGCTGATAGTAAGATGGTATTCCATTTCTCAAAAATACATGTATAGCTAGAAAAGTAGATAATCCTACTTAAAGTTTGTGCAACTCTAAACTTGAGTAATTCAGGTTAAAATGAACAAAACTGTTTTTCTTACCTTTAGGTCTTTCCAACTATCCAGGAGCTTGGTGGCCAAATCGCTGATATCCACGGTTTTATCTGGTGGCTCCTGGCTCCTCTCACTCTCCACATCAGACACGCCCTCCTCTTCATCTTGGGACGGCGTTTCCCCAGCAACATGCTCTTCTAGCTTCGCGCTGTTGCTCTCTTTCGGCTCTACTTCGACATCAGCCTCCGGTTCAGGGGTGGGTAGCTTACTGGCCTCCCCAGCAATTTCACCATCAACTTTAGACTCAGGCAGCTGTTGTGTGAGTAGCTGCTGTGACTGTAACTCATCCTCTTCTTCTACAGGGATGGTTTCTAACTGGTCAAGGTCCTCTTTGCCATCTTTGCCTTCTAGCTCGCTGGTGGCATCAGAGATGGCACTGTCCATGCTATTCTCACTTATAATTTTAAGTCTGCGAAACATGAGCTTCTTGGGGGTGTCTGTGTCAGCTTCGGTGCTCAGCTTGGTGGAAGGATCAGGTGTGTTGAGCGGTGTGTGAGCCCGTGACGTGTTCTCACTAGAATACCCATCTCCTTCACTCAACTGAGGAACAGCAGTCTTGGTCTGAGACCAACGTTGAATAATTGGAAGTACTTTGCTTTCTTCCAACATATTTTTTGTAGGAATAGGTAAGTGTTCCAAAGTCTTTATAATCTGATTAAACACAATAAAAAAAAATCACATCACTTTGTACACCTGACTTTTCAAACCTCTGGATGGGGGCCAGATCATTTCTGCAGGAGCAGTGGGGTTTTTTTGTTTGTTCTTTGTTTTTTTACCGTCTTATTAAATTAAGACCTAAGTCTCTGTAGTCGCAAAAAGATTCAACTGTCATAATATTTATCTATCAAAGGGAAGGAAAACTTTCAATAAGACTCAACAGCAAAAATAACAGGTACAGCCGGTGACTGCTCACATCAAATAGGAGTGATTCATATTAATATTCCCCACCTGGTTAGATTTTTAAAAATATTTTAACTACCAGACATCACCTTGGGTATCTTTCTCTAAAAGTTTCCCAAGTGACTGTGATACAGTACGGGAACTATGCAACCACATATAGTTAAATGATGTCTCACAGAGACTCAGAAAACCACAGATACTTACCTCTTTAGCCTTTGATACACCCAGGAAAGAGACTCTCTTCATTCAGAAATAACCACCCTCCCGCCCTAAATACAAGAGTTCCTTCCCAAGTTCAGCCTGCACTGCAGTTCTGCCCAAACTCCAAGGTCTCCCCACTTCTGCTTGCTGCCAGGCCCCCTGGGAGGAGAATCAAGGCCAGACAATGGCTTATGTGCCCACTTTTCATCGTGACTAAAAGGAATGACGTCTGAACCACATCAGATTTTATTTATTTCGTGGGAAGGTGTAAATAACAGCCCCACTGACAATGCTACCACCGAACATTCACCTGGATCTTCTAAAACACTCATTTATTCCCCACAATGTTCTTACTCGTCATCCAGAATTCAGCTCCTCACTAATTGTTTACAGCCCCAGAAGTGAGTTCACGTGGTTCCTATCTTTTAAAACTATGGTTTTAAGCAACCTGGCTGGTGTGGTTCAGTAGACAGAGCATCATCAGCCTGTGGACGGAAGGGTCCGGGTTCGATTCCGTCAAGGGCACATGCCAGGGTTGTGGGCTTGATCCCCAGTAGGGGGCATATAGGAGGCAGCTGATCAATGATTGTCTCTCATCATTAATCTTTCCATCTCTTTCCCCCTTCCCTTCCTCTCTGAAATCAATAAAAATTAAAAAACAACAACACATAAAGAACTATGGTTTTAGCAACAGACGGGATCTTTCACTTAACTATGGTATTATATCTTGCACTCCCAGTTCCCAACTATGTAATACTGCCCTTAAACTCGATACTAGACAAGTACATGTAAAGGTTATAGTTGGGATGACCTTGGGATAAAAATACTTCACACCAGCAGTAAATGTGATGCTAAACTCATCGTCTCTGATAGCTTCGCATCCCGCCCACCTAGGCAACAAGTGGCTTTAAGAATCAAGAGCACTGACTGTGAACTGACCTCCTCCTGAAGCTTCCGGTTGCTTTCCCGGCCGTCCCCCAGCTCCGCCATCCAGATCCACAGCAAAGACAGCCCATGGCGCTCCAGAAAGGACTTCAGACGAGACTGGGAGTGAGTGTTCTTTCATGGCGGCAGGGAAGCAGGGTGCGGGGTGTTGGGGGGGGGTGGAGGGTGTAGAGAACACCAGACAGAATGTTAAAGAGGGCCCACAGAGAAAACTAGAGTTTGTTTATATTCCAAAAAACCTAGAAACTACTTTACCTCAACTAGAACTATGTAACTGAAAAATGCTTTCAAGTAAGAGATTATAATCTTTTTTGATACCCAAAATATATCCAGTCAACCTTTACTTTATTAAAGTAGAAAATTATATAAACATTAATATGTCATTTACAATGAAATCCAATTCTAAAGGAGTAAGAAAAAATTTACATTCAACATTTTTATTGAAAAAGCTAAAACTGCCGAAACCGGTTCGGCTCAGTGGATAGAGCATCGGCCTGCGGACTAAAAGGTCCCAGGTTCGATTCCGGTCAAGGGCATGTACCTGGGGTTGCAGGCACATCCCCAGTAGGAGATGTGCAGGAGGCGGCTGATCGATGTTTCTCTCTCATCGATGTTTCTAACTCTCTCTCTCTCTCCCTTCCTCTCTGTTAAAAATCTATAAAATATATTTTTTTTAAAAATATTTTTTTGAAAAAGCTAAAACTATAAAGATAAGCTGGAGTAAATGAGATTACTGTTAAAATTTTTTGCTTTGAGATCCTGTGGTTAAAATGGCTTTGTTATGCTAATAACCACGGGAGAGCGTCTAGCCCTCTATCCACCTACCACAGCAAAGGAACATATCAAGTATCATGAATTGTTGCACAAAAAAACTCACCATGTTCTCTGATTAAAGAGAGAAAGCAAGTAGGATCTACTAACAGACTAAATTATGCTGAAATCTCAAGCCGTTTTTAAGAATACATGCTTTCAAAGTCATGCAGAACTCACATATCCATTTTTAAAATAACAGAAATTCTTCTCATCAGAATTATTCCTTCTTCATTCATTTATTCTGAACTATAGTTTAAATGTCCCACATCAAATTCAGAAATAAAAAATATATTAATAAATATCAAAGTGTTCACCTGGATGAGCTTGAGACAGGTAAGTTTCTGTTCCAAAGTTTCAATTCTAACCATTAGCCGGGATAAGCTGAGCACCTGGTTTTTATCAGAGAGACCCTCCCCGTTCTCCATCAGCGCTTCTAGCTCTCCATCCACCTACCACAGCAAAGGAAACATCTGGTTATCAAACAGCATCGACCCATGCACCAAGAGGTCACCCTTTGGATTCCCAGTCAGGGCACATGCCTGGGTTGCGGGCTCAATCCTCAGTAGGGGGCATGCAGAAGGCAGCCGATCAATGTTGATGTTTCTCCCTGTACATTATTTAAGTAAGGGCTTATTGTGAGAATTAAGCAAGTTAATATGTCAAGTGCTTAGAATAGTGCTTGGCATACAGCTGCACTATATATGTTCTCTAAAAAGAGAGCTGAAGCACACACAACACTTTGAAGAGTTTTTTTTCCCATATTGGGTGGTAGAAACATGGGTGTTTATTATAAACTTTCCCCCTTTTTTGCATTTTAAAAATGGCATTTTTCAAAGCTTTCTGCTATCTATGTCTTCTTATAGAATTTAGTTTCTTCATAATTAATTTTCAATTAATTTGGGCTTAATCACATAATCTTGAACCATTATACTTCTATCTACTCCATGTTCGTTGTGTCTCATCTAAACCGTAAGATTGACGTCATTTATGATTCTGAACAGTAGCCTATATAATAAAGAGCTAATATGCTAATTAGACCGAACAGCTGAAGGACCGTCTGGATGACCTTCAGACAAAGCCGGGGCTGCGAGGGCCGAGCCCCTTGCACGAATTTTGTGCATCGGGCCTCTAGTTGGTTCATAACAAGCCCAGGAATGAGCTAACTGCAAAAGATCACAGAGGGATATGCTAACTACCTCCCCAGCCCCCCACTAGGATTCACAGGTGGTTGTGAGGCTCGCACACACAGCTCTGAAAAAGGAATCCTCAGGGAAGGAGGGGAATTTACAAAACAACAACAATAACAGAGACTTTGTCCCAGTGAAGAGCCCCTGTAAGTAACAAGAAATCCCCTGCCTTCAGTAGTGACTCAGGTGAGCCGGGTAGAAAAAGGCTATCAACTACTGTTCTAATGTATTAAGTGAAAAGACCACTTGAGACTATTTCTCTAATGTTGCCTGTTACCTCTCAAAACTCACTTCACATTCCAAAGAGGGTTTTTAGAGATTTTCAGAACACTTGCAAATTTTAGAGGTCCAAACCAAACAGACCAATATGAAAGATTAGGGATACAGACCAGCCTCATGTGAGCTAACAGAGAAACATTTTAATTTTACTTAGGATTAGTTTTGGAGAACCAAGATGGCGGCATAGGTTAACGCTGGAGTTTGCTGCCTTGAACAACTACTTCAAAAGTGAAACCAAAAAACGGAAGGGACATCACCCAGAACCACAGGAACGCTGGCTGAGTGGAAGTCCTACAACTAGGAGGAAAGAGAAACGCATACGGACACTCAGAGGAGGCGCAGTGCTGAAGTCAAATTCTGAGGTGCGGAGTGCGCGGAGCGGGCTGGCGGCGGAGGGCGCGGTTGGCGTTTTCAATCGGGAGGGAGTCGCAGACTCTGAGCTCCAGATACGGGCGAGTCTTTAGGGACCCAGACTCAAACGGGAGAAGCGGGACTGTCTGGCTTCGGTCAGAGCGAGTGCAGCTTTCTCTCCGAGCTTTGCAGCGGGTACTGGGACTCAGAGAGGCAGAGCCCCTGGGGACAGGACTGAGAGCCGCCATAACTGCTCTCTCCAGCCCACCCTGTTGATCCTGTTCGACCCGCCCTGCCCAAGCCCTGCACACAGGCATTTGCCGGATAGCCTCAGGCAAACGCCAGATTAGCACCTCCCTAGAGGACAGAAGTTCTCTCACTGCTGACACAGCTGATTCTCATAGCCACTTGGCCTGGAGGTCAAACCCTCCCTGGAATTAGCTACAACAATCAAGATTTAACTATAAAACTGCGAACAAAGACCACTAGGGGGTGCACCAAGGAAGCATAACAAAATGCGGAGACAAAGAAACAGGACAAAATTGTCAATGGAAGATATAGAGTTCAGAACCACACTTTTAAGGTCTCTCAAGAACTGTTTAGAAGCCGCCGATAAACTTAATGAGATCTACAAGAAAACTAATGAGACCCTCGATCTTATATTGGGGAACCAACTAGAAATTAAGCATACACGGACTGAAATAACGAATATTATACAGACTCCCGACAGCAGACCAGAGAAGCGCAAGAATCAAGTCAATGATTTGAAATGCGAGGAAGCAAAAAACACCCAACCGGAAAAGCAAAATGAAAAAAGAATCCAAAAATGCGAGGATAGTGTAAGGAGCCTCTGGGACAGCTTCAAGCGTACCTACATCAGAATTATAGGGGTGCCAGAAGATGAGAGAGAGCAAGATATTGAAAACCTATTTGAAGAAATAATGACAGAAAACTTCCCCCACCTGGTGAAAGAAACAGACTTACAGGTCCAAGAAGCGCGGAGAACCCCAAACAAAAGGAATCCAAAGAGGACCACACCAAGACACATCATCATTAAAATGCCAAGAGCAAAAGATAAAGAGAGAATCTTAAAAACAGCAAGAGAAAGAAACGCAGTTACCTACAAGGGAATACCCATACGACTGTCAGCTGATTTCTCAACAGAAACTTTGCAGGCCAGAAGGGAGTGGCAAGAAATATTCAAAGTGATGAATACCAAGAACCTACAACCAAGATTACTTTATCCAGCAAAGCTATCATTCAGAATTGAAGGTCAGATAAAGAGCTTCACAGATAAGGAAAAGCTAAAGGAGTTCATCACCACCAAACCAGGATTATATGAAATGCTGAAAGGTATCCTTTAAGAAGAGGAAGAGGAAGAAAAAGGTAAAGATACAAATTATGAACAACAAATATGCATCTATCAACAAGTGAATCTAAGAATCAAGTGAATAAATAATCTGATGAACAGAATGAACTGTTGATTATAATAGAATCAGGGACATAGAAAGGGAATGGACTGACTATTCCTGGGGGGGAAAGGGGTGTGGGAGATGCGGGAAGAGACTGGACAAAAATCGTGCACCTATGGATGAGGACAGTGGGTGGGGAGTGAGGGCGGAGGGTGGGGCGGGAACTGGGAGGAGGGGAGTTATGGGGGGGAAAAAAAAGAGAAACAAATGTAATAATCTGAACAATAAAGATTTAAAAAAAAAAAATGGAGCAGGATTAGTTTTATTGGCTCTAAAAAATCATCAGCACATGTGTTTTCAAGATGACTTCATTATTTCTCAAACGTATCCAATTCTAATCCCTGTGACCCTGAAGTAAAAACGGCCATCATTCATGCTTCTTTTCCATGATTATCTCACCTGACCCTGAATTTCTCTGGTTGTAGTTCTGACTTTTCAAACTTCAATCAGAAAAGCTACCTCCCTTAAAATGTCTATGGTGAAATCTGAAAAAAGACACGACACTTACTGAATCTTTCTTACGGGATCGTTCCTTCTTCATTTTCCCTCCTGCTGCTCGAATGCTGACTCTGTTCTCTCCTCCCAGGTAACCCCGGCAATTAGCTGACCCACAGAAACATTTCTGCGCTTCTTTTCTGTTCAAGGAGCGCAGGAGAAATGTCAGTGTGTGAAGGTAAACCATATAAAAATGTTGACAATATAATAATTACAAGAGAGAAGTCAATCTAGACTAAAGAAAAAATAATTTATTTTGAGACTGCAAAAAACCTGATACTATCTAATGCAAAGCCTGAAAATTTCTCTTAAAAATATTCATTCTTTTTCTAATATTCCTTTATTAGCTAGACAAAACTAGCCAAGAGGTTAATTAGTAATTTCTTCATTTTATAAAAGTACTTACTAATATATGAAAATAAGAGCTCATATACATATTTGGACTAAGAACAAAATTGTTTAAATAGTTTAATATCTATTACTTATATGTAAATATTTGACTGGCACATAGAACAACTAAATGTATTATTATAAAAAGATGTATAGAGGACAGTAAAAAACACGACCACTGCCCAGCTACATTAGTCCATGAGGTGTTGTGAAATGGTGATACCGTTCATTATACTTCATTTATTAGCTGAAATAACCTCTATAAAGAACTTCTTCTCATCAAATATTCGGTTAAACCTGAAGTAGAATTCACTAGGAAAGGCAGAATAAATGCTTTCTTTCTTTCTTTTTTAATTCTTAAAATTCATTTTCAAAGTCATGAATTGGTTCTCATCAATTACGATGAATGCAATTTTATTTTCAAAATGCTATTAATATTCAAGGATTCTACATAATGTGTTTCAAACTGCTGCAGTTGTTACCCTATTGATGCTTAAGTGTTACTAGGAACTCTCCCACTTCTGGTAAGTGAGAGCCTATTTGAGCTAGCTCCTGAGCTCCTTGGACATGACCCTCCTAATCTAATATGTTAATTAGACCGGATGTCCTTCAGGACCAAACCAGGGCTGCAAGAGAAGCCCGGGTCCCAGGAGCCAGAGGGGAGCCGGTGCCGGCAGCCAGGGAAGGAAGGCCCACTCTTGCATGAATTTCGTGCACCGGGCCTCTAGTGTTTTATAACTGGCTTTCTGGTACGACAAGATAATCCAAGATCACCTTGTTCAATGCGTTTTAAGCTTGAAATCAGCTTGCTCCAAGGACCCATGTTCCTTTTTAGTGGGGTTTTGTAAAACCACAATGTAGATGCTTGGGGCATTCACTGCTGCTTCATTACTTATTGACTTTGGTAAACAAAACTAGGTAACAATTTTTTTTCAAAGCACAATATGGCATAGATGAAACAAGATTAAGTGTGAGTTGAATGACGAATAGAGATTTATTGTACTATTTTCTTTACACACACACACTGTTGACATTTCTATAATTAAAATTTTTTAAATTACATTAAAAACATAATTATATGAAGTATGAAGTTCAGAGGAAAATTATGCTGTTCAGGCACAATATCCCTTAATGGCCAAAAGTGCATAACAATAGGAAAAATACAAAATTGAAAGTCCACTACAGGTAAGAGCTGGTAATATCTGTAGCTTCTCAGGAGCTCACATCAGTTTTCTCTCTGTGTCTGCACAGTCTACTTCCCCACAGAAGCAGCAGCACAGGAAGAGCAATACTCACCCATATCTCTGGAACTGGTAGTCAAATGTCAACTCTGAGCCTGAAGGAACCAGTTTGGTGGTAAAAAACCCAACCCTCAGCTGTCCGTTCACAGTCCACTGAGATGTTGTTTGTAAAAGAAAAGAAATTAGTAACTAATTAATCTTTTTTTAAAAGATCACCATTATCAACCTTAATTATGTGTGTTCATCTTTAGAAGATAAAGGCTTTTCCAAATAGGTAAATGGGGAACTTTTTTTCTTTACATAAACTAACATATTAAAGTGCTACTCTTATTTCATGAACTATCAGATTGAATATCATCTATAATTTGTATCTAATAAAAGTAACTGTTACTTTAACTAATTTTGATGTGCTAATTTCCACATAGCAAAGATACAGTATGTTAAAAGTAACTGTGTTCTAAGATAAGATGGGGTACGGAACCAGGGGGAAATGATGCCAAAAGTTGACCTTCATGAAGCAGTGGTCACAATGCTGGGTGTAGCGAGAGGGAAGGTGTATAAAACTCAAGAATTAAGACGGGGTTAGTACACAGGAGTTAGGCCTTGTAGTTCCAGATCATTTGCGGTGGAAGTCAACTGTAGAACGCCTTTCCAGACCATCTGAACATGTTACCAATGGAAAAAACGTCTTAAAAAGACGAAGGGACACCATGCAGTTGGAGTCTCACCGCCACACATATGGCCACCAGCTGCAGGCGAATCTGAGCCAGAACTGTAGGCTGAGTCATTTATTTCAGACCAATGTCTCCCATTCATGATATGGCCCAGCTCTCAGAAAGAGACCTATTTAAGGTTGAGTGGCACACAGGTCAAAGGCAAAAAATACCAGGATTCAAAACCACTGTTTCGATGAGAGGGGGACCATTGGATCTATTTTTCCTAGGGAGTGGATCCATAGTTTTCTTAACCTAAAAAAGAACCAAAGTTCTAATCTATTTATATATTTTAAATCTAAGCTCAAAACACAAATGAGACACATTCAAAGTGACAAATCCACCGATGAATGGATTTATCAAGTGCCAACTCTGTGCCAGGCACAGCACGTGAAGGAAAGCAAGACCCGAAGCCTGGCCTGTTGAGGAGCAGTGTGCCCACATGCACCCTCACAAAATCCCTCTCACCTATGGCTGATTTGCCCTTTATTGCGTCATTACAACTGTCAAATTTGGAACCTGGATAGGAGCTGATAAAAATCTGAATGGGCCCAGTTGGCATGGCTCACTGTCGACCGATAAACCAAGAGGTCACTGGTTCGATTCCCAGTCAGGGCACATGCCAGGGTTGCAGGCTTAATCCCCAGTAGGAAGGGGGGGAGAGGGGGTGTGTATACAGGAGGCAGCCCACTGATGTTTCCCTCTCATTGATGTTTTTCTCTATCCCTCTCCCTCCCTCTCTAAAAATCAATAAAAACATTTTTAAAAATTTGAATAGTGCACACACACTCTGGACTCCATTAAAAACAAAATTTAGTTTTGTATTTTTGGCAACTTTGAAATAATATCTAAAATTTATAGGCAAATAGAGGTGAGAATTAAATGCAACAGGAGTTTTCTGGACCGAATACTAGACCCAAAAAATGACAGATGGTAAAATTTGAATAAGGTCTTTAGACTAGGTAACAATTAACAGTATATCCTGGGTTGAGTAATTGTATTATGGTTATGTACAATGTATATTTGGAGAAGCTTGAGTGAAGGATGGTACGAGAACTCTGTACTATCTCCGCACTATTTATTATTTCATAACCTAAACTTACTTCAAAATACAAACTTTTAACAACAGAGTAGGAAAAAATGATTTAAAAATATTAGTCCTGGGTGCTTTTGATATACAATCTGAAAAGGTCAGAATAGAATCTTAAGTAAATACCCCAAACTCTAAATCCACCCCAACTTACTTTTTGAGTCTCACAGTTTGGCTCACAGCTATGATTCATAAAACGAGAGCAATTTCCTTTCTGAGTGGCATCTATTATCTAGGGAGAGGGAAAAGGAAGAGTTAAAAACGAGACCTAAACATATACTTGCATTTTGCAAAGGAAAGGCATCAGGCAAATGTAAAATCCCATTCCTTCCCAACCCCTTTCCTTTAGAAAATACTCTGATACTTCTTTATACTTCCGAGTGGTGACCATGTCCTCTGGAAGATCTGCCGACTATAAACATTTTACCCCCAGTCAAAATTATCTCCTTCATCTATTGTTCTCTCATCTCCTTTGAGCTATTTCTTATACCCACTGTATTCCAACCTCACTTCATGTGCGTCACTGTATTCTCAAGTGCACCCCATGCCACAGTGCAACAGCTCTCAACCTGGCCTATCTGAGAGCCCTGGACCGCTTGCTACTGGGCCCATCTCCAGAGTTAGATTCAGCAGATCCTGGAGTCCATCGCTAGGATTTGAATTTCCAGACTGAATGTAGAGAGGCAAATATGAGAATCTAGGTAAATTCTATTAAGCCAGGTATTAAGGAGATTTGTAAAAAAAAAAAGTCAATATAATGAATGGGCTTATTACTTTGAAAAGGTCTAATAAATATTTCTCAGCTTTAATTTTCAATATAATAAATATTGACAAATATAACCCACATACACAAAAACTCGTGGGGGGGGGGGGGGCACTGATAATTGTGAAGAGCTGTACCAAGGCCGGCCAGTGTGGTTCAGTGGAGGAGCGGTGACCCATTGTATCAATAACCCTTTGCATGCAGCAAGTTCCAGGTCTGCCTCACAGCACCCCGTGCCGCTCACCTCGTCGTTCTTCAGGGCCATGAAGTAGTAGTGGATGTTCTTGTTCCGTGCGTACTCCTTCACCCGGGCTTTAAACTCTTTGTGGTCAAGCACCTCCCCACAGTACTCCAGGACAAAGGTGTTCCTGCGCAGAGAGAACAGCAGCTCCTGCCTAGGGGCACTTTCTTACACGGAAGACACATACGTCCGAGCAAAATCAGTGAATTTAAAGAAATATCCCAACGCGGATAAAACTGGTACTGCACAAGACGTAGGAAAAATGTGTGTGAAGTGCCTGGCATCTACTCCAGGCTAATTTCCTCCGTCCGAATACTTTTAAGAGTGTTGATTCTAAGAAGCTTTGATAATTTATACATAGTGCCAAGATGCATATCCTTATTCTAACTAGATATTAAAACAAACTTGCAACTCTGGTTTTCATAATAATGAGAAAAAAAAATGCTTCACAGATACACCTCTGAAGAAATCAGGAAGCCCTGAAAAATTACAGGCTTTATGTTCCAGGAAAACAGAAGGCAAAGTAAACAAATACAGCAGCCCTTCTACTGCCTTTACCATAGAAGGTCTCGAACAAACGTTAAAGGTCAAATATGCGGTTTCTGCCCTGGCCAGTCTGGCACAGAGGTTAGAGTGCAGCCTGTGTACCGAAGGTCTCGGGCTCAATTCCTGGTTAAGGGCATGTACCTCAGTTGCAGGTTCGGATCCCCATCCCCGATCAGGGTGCATGTGGAAGGCAACCAATCAATGTGTCTCTCTCACGTTCACATTTCTCTCTCTCTCTGTCTCCCCCGAGTCCACTACCTCCCTTCCACTCTCTCTAAAAATCAATGGAAAAAATATACTCGGGTGAGGACTTTTTTAAATGCTGTTCCTCTGGCTGCGTTCTCTTTAAGTTTTCTCAAGCATTTATCAGTAATAATTATTAATTTCTCTCCGTGGCTTCTTTCAGGTACTTTCTACCCTTGATTGTTCTTTCCTTGGTTATTTACTGATTTTATTCGCTATTGAAATATTAAATTCTCATTCTTCCCCCGTTCCCTTTATTCTATAAAAGTTCATTCCCATCAGTGACTTCATGTATTACTACCTCCATGTAGTCAAATGCTTCTCTATGCTTTGGTCCCAAGACACCCTGAACTGACTGACCTGGAAGTCTTATCTTACCCCTTCAAAAGGAATATGCCCTCACTCTAACCAGAGACTTTATCTTATGTTTTTTTGTTAATCCTCACCCAAGGATAGAGTTTTCCATTGATTTTTAGGGAGAGTGGAAGAGAGGGAAAGACAGAGAAACCAGCTAGGGCTAACCAGAGATTTTTAAAATGTAAATCATTTCTATTTGCTTACAACTTGTTGATATAATCAGTGTACTAATTAAAGGAGAAATTAATTGCCAGTTTAAAAAAAATTAAACCCTTTTAGTTTAGAAAATAAAGCAGTTATTAACAAATGAGAAAAGAACAATTATATAAAAAAAGCAAACCTCCAAACAGGATTATAATGGTATTATACATGCATTTGTGCAGCAATCCATCACAAACACATCTAAATCTCAATAAAATCTATTACTCACAGATTAACCCTGAAAGGTCTAATTACTATCGTTATAAACAACACTTAAATGTTCCTTTCCAACCTCAGAAGCTTATCATTTGGTAAGAAATGTATTAGAATGACGACAAAATTTGAGCTCTCATACTGTTGGACTCTCCACTTCCTGGATTAGTCCCTTCTCTTGAGAAAAAGAAAAAAAAAAAACATCACAGGCTGACATGTAGGTTAAATATGATAACTAGCTATAAAACATACCTTATGCAGGATTTGGAACCTCATTCGTAAAAACATATCCATTTCCTTTCCTAACAAAAACTAAACGCTCCCCCTGAACTGGCTCAGGTAAAGTCCATGGACGCCCTGGGACATCGGCATTACACCTCATTTGACAGGCAAGATGGGAGTTAGAGAAGCTAGGTGAGCAGCACCGGTCACAAAGCCTAATCAATAATCTGGGACTCAAACCTCACCTGATTGACTGCTTGCGCCATCCTATATAATAAAAGGCTAATATGCAAATTGTCCCCTCAAGAGTTCGACTGACTGGGAATTCAACTGCTTGCTATGATGGGCGCTGGCCACCAGGGGGCAGCATGGAATAAGGGAGGCCCCAGCCAGCAGCCAGGGGAAGACCCCGGCTGGCAGGTGGAAGGCCCCGATTGGCCCTGATCGCTGGCCAGGCCTAGGGACCCTACCCGTGTGCACAAATTTCATGCACCGGGCCTCTGGTTATATTATAAAGATGCTTTTTGCTATTACACTAAAATATTCAATTCTGACGGCACTGCTCTCAAATCACCTCTACATTTAGAAAAAGTTCTTAAACACCAGAACCTGACCAACTATTAAATCACTCAGAGCAGAGACCTCATGCCATGTGGAATTCTGAAGGACATGTCAATATCCATGGAACTGACAGCTTGGGCTTGACGAAGCACCTAAGAAGAGTCTCAATGTCCTCAGGAACGTAGGAAATGTAGGAAGAGTCACTAGATCCTTCAGCTGCCCCACCTACATGAAACTAAATGAGGTCAATGTGAAAGCATACAGTGCAGGCCTTAAAACTGGCTAAACTAATTTGCGATTCTTACAAAAGCTATGTCTCAAACACCAACAACCAAAAGGAAAAAAAGAGTAATATCAAACTGCCTGACAGAGAGATTAAGCCCCTAAAGGCGGAGACCATGATTTTTCCTTTTTTCTTTTTAAATATATTTTTATTGATTTCAGAGGAAGGGAGAAGGGGAGAGAGAAACATCAATGATGAGAGAGAATCATCGATCGGCTGCCTCTTGCATGCCCCCTCCTGGGGATCAAGCCTGCAACCCAGGCACGTGCCCCGACAGGAACTGAACCCAGACCCGTCAGTCCGCAGGAGAATATTCTATCCACTGAGCTCACCCAGCCAGGGCAGATCCTTCATGTTTAGTTAATCTTTGTCTGCGTGTGACATTGCTCCTGGCTTGATGAGGTCTGCTCACTGAACTCCTTCAAATCTTTCAAGGCAACAATGCTGCACTGTGGCAGGCAGAAGGCTGAAGGGAACAGACAGGTGTCATTATCACTGCAAAGCTAGATGGCGACAGCTATGAACGGCTTAGGGATTAAAGGTAATGTCTGCAACTCCCCTTAAAATTCACCGAAAAGATGGATGAAGACTTGAGCACATGGAAAATATATAATAAATACAGCAAAATGTCAACAACTTTAGACAATAAGTGGTGACTATATAGGTATCAACTGTTCAACTCTTTCAGCCTCTCCACATTTTTATAAAACATTATGGGAAAAGTCAGTTTTTAAAACTCAAACTCGCCGTAACCGGTGTGGCTCAGTGGATAGAGCGTCGGCCTGCGGACTGAAGGGTCCCAGGTTCGATTCCGGTCAAGGGCATGTGCCTTGGTTGCAGGCACATCCCCAGTGGGGGGTGTGCAGGAGGCAGCTGATCGATGTTTCTCTCTCATCGATGTTTCTGACTCTCTATCCCTCTCCCTTCCTCTCTGTAAAAAATCAATAATATATTTAAAAAAAAAAAAACTCAAACTTGTCCAAATGCCCATCATTTGTTCAATAAGCAGAATGTGGTATTTCACGTAAAGAAGGGCTGCTACCTGCCATGAACAGGTAAAGCTCCAGTGGGGGTTCTACTTGTGGGGAGATTCTATTTTCCTTTCGGGGATAATGAAAAGGCTTTGGAACTAAACAGAGGTGATGGCTGCATAATATGGTGAATGTACTAAAGGCCACTAAATTAATGCATTTAAAAATGGTTACTCTTATTTCATGTGAATTTTACCTCAGATTTTTTTTAAAAAACCCATTTGGTATATAATAACATTAAGTCACCTAAACAGGACTGCCTGCCATTCCTACAGTTTAAAACGAAAGGATTTTGACAGGAATTTGCTTGGGGTTTTTTGGTGGAATCTATCACACTTGAACACTATCTAGCAGCTTGGCTCCTAATGCTTCCTCGCCCTATGCATATCTGACAATAGGTCCTTATTCCTGGTAGAGTGTTCCATTAGCATCTAAATAGTTTAGTACTAAAGATCTATGAATCTGGTATTACCATCAGCATATAAAAATTACATGAATTAGGAAGGTGTGGGAAACATGGAAATATTAAATCCCAGTATATTTTACCAAAGCAGGGTTCTCTGTCAGTAGCTAAGGAAAGGTAAAGAGCTGCAGAAAATTTTAACCTGCTATGTGAACCAATAAAACATCCTCCTCCCTCCCCCAGCCCCTCCCCTAAGACACTAAGCGTCTATGTTGCATCTAGCAAGAATTCACATTAGGTTTGAAGCTGTGTGTTTTAGTGAAACCCTAAGAGGCAGTGTTCAGACATATCACCCACTACTATTCCTACAACAGAGGCTTAAGTCTAAACTGGAATTCCTTAAAAAAAAATTTAAAAAGACTCAAAGAGAACAGCCTAGCTGGCTTGGGTCCCTGAAAATCTGTATCTAGACCAGAGTTAGTTACTTTAGAAACGCACTGGGCCCTGACCGGTGTGGCTCAGTGGATAGAGCGTCGGCCTGCGGACTGAGGGGTCCCAGGTTCGATTCCGGTCAAGGGCATGTGCCTGGGTTGCGGGCACATCCCCAGTGGGAGGTGTGCAGGAGGCAGCTCATCGATGTTTCTGGCTCTCTATCCCTCTCTCTTCTTCTCTGAGAAATGCACTGGACTAAACTGGGAAGTTCTATGTCATTAACTATGTTCAAAGGAAGCTCAGCCTATTATTTGTTTAAAATATTATAAAGTATCCAACAAAGTCGATATAGAATACAACACGATGATTCTGCAGAGAAGGAAATATATGAGGTTCTGACTATCCCCTCTTCATATAATGAAATGTGTGTTTTTTCCTGGTTGGTTCCCAAAAGACCAGACTGATACAAACATCATTTCCTACTTTCACAAGAAAAACAGAATGATTTGGCTTTTAGAAGACCGATGAAATTTCTCAGGAAACGAAATTACCTGGTAGTGGTAGTCGTGGTGATGGTTAGGTTGTTACCTGTGGGGATTCCTGTGACTACACATAATAAACAGACTAAAAACCCTCGCCCCATTCCAATCCCATCTAAGGGTGGCCGTGTGATTAGGATTCTGAAGGAATAGTTGTGCCCGAGTCCCTAGAATCCGGCAAATGTTTTTTCTACCTTTATTCCTTTTGTGTATTTAAATCATAAACACATATCCCCAGCTAGTGTTGCGCAGTGGTTGAGCATCAACCTATGAACCAGGAGGTCATGGTTGGATTCCCGGTCAGGGCTGCAGGCTTCATCCCCAGTGTGGGGCAGGCAGGAGGCAGCCAATTCATGATTCTCTCATCACTGATGTTTCTACCTCTCTCTCCCTCTCCCTTCCTCTCTGAAATCAATAAAAATATATTTTTAAAAATGAAATAAACACATTTAACCTGTATTACTTAACTTTAAAAGAAAAAGGCATAAGAATATTTTAATATGTGACATGTGACAAAATTATGTTTAAAGGAAATATTGAATATGGTAGAAAAGAAAGTGAATCTTTTATTGCATTACATATAAAAAGTTTACATGCATTAGGTGGAAGCAACGTACAAATGTTTACTGAGTGTCTGTCAAGTATGCTTTAATTCTCTGCCTCAGTATCCTCAGATATTGTCTTCTACTCTGATCCAAAGTCAGTTTTATATAAACTAATATATTCTGTTCTTACTCCTTTTTACCTTTACAAAATTTCACAAGAATTTTGGGGATCTATAGCCAATACTTCAGCAATTGTTTGGAATGAAAAGAAACATAACTATTAGACAAAAAAGGACCTGCTTAGTCCAAATGTCAAAAATGTCCTTCTTTTATATCCTTAGACAGGAGAGGTGGTTCCCTTACCCCACAAAAGTGGATTTTTTTTACATACTAGCTACGAAGTGGCCATTCTGCACAATAATCATTATTAAACGTCAGTGTAATCGACAAATTATTTTCCTACAAAGTAATCAACTTCAACAACACAAAAATGAGGTGAAAGGTGATGCAAACACCACTTACGAAGGAAGGTCTTTGGCAGCTCTCAAGCCCCAGCCTTTCTTCTCTGTGAGTATGACTTCCACATCCGCATGCTGTTTCCTCTGAAATCGTCTATTGGAACAGTAATCCCCATTTGGACACCGAGAGGAACTGTGAGAAATGGAGAACATTCATGTTGGCTCGCGTGCACGGCACAGCCCCCGCTTTACAGCGCCGTCAGCCTGTGTGTGGCAGACCCCGGTGAGCCGTCCTCAGGAACCCTTTCCACCACGAAGGGGTCCTTGGACTGGAGGATGCCCGCCACAGTCCTGTCGCCTCGCCATCACCCCCTCTGGGTGTCTAGGACACATGTCCAGGCGTCCTCCTGACCACTCTGCAGGGCTCATTTATTTCCTATCCGGCACCTTCTCTTCTATTCCACTCCAGTCATCATTAATCCGATCTTCTGAATGTAGCTAACTGATCTGCATTTAAGAGACACTAAAGCCATGAAACACCCTCGTTCAGAGTAAACACAATATAAAGGGCAAGCCCACTCCCATGTGTATTAGATGAAAATAAAATCAAACATTCACTAAATTCTCAGTATCCCAAACTGGCAGAAACAAAGGTTTAAATGCTGAGTGAGGCTAAAAGAGTAATTACCAATCACTTCCAATCCATTCTATTTTGTCAAACTAACAGTAAGGATGTTCACAGATGTTCAGAGGAGGAAGGTTCACGTCCGAGTGAGGTGGGAGGGAAAGCTTTCAGAGGAGCAGGACTGAGGCAGAGCCTCTAACGACCCCACGACACGGACAGTGAGGAAAACGAGACGCAGCAGCGCGTCTGTGCGCAGAAACAGGAAGCAGGCCCGAGAGGAAGCGGAGCCAGCACTGCGACGGTGGCTGGCCAGGCCGGCGGCTGCTGGAAGATGGACAGGAAGGAGCTGCTTTACTGTGAGGGGCTCTGGACACCAGGCTCAATCTGAACACAATCCCAAGGACTTCCGAAGGTCTGAGTATGGGAATAACACGAAGAAAGAACTTCTGCACTTCATTCCTATGGAGCAAGGCTGCAAGGAAAGCCAGAAGACTGCAGAGACCAGGGCAACAGTGCCAAGTCAGGGGAACAGGGTTCATTCTATGTCTCTTCTTCGTACCTGCATATGTCATCCTACTTTTAGTTTAGGTCAAGGAATACTAAAAATGCTTTCTCTCCTTTTTGTTTACAGTATCTATGTTTTATTTTTATAACGTAACATGAGCAAAACCAAAAACTTAGCCTTGAAAAAAAACCATTCATTAACACTAAAAATAAGGTAACCATACCATAAATCACCTTTAATAGTCTTTTCATGTTAAAAAAAATTTATTAGACATTTTTTAATGTATAGATATTCGCTACTTATAAAAAATATATATATAGAAGCAAATGCCTACCAATAGGGATTAATACTTAGGGGTTAACTATGAATAGAATATGTAAGGCAGCTAAGGCAAAGATTGAGGTAGGTCCTTTATGCATGGCTCTGAATAGGTCTTCAAAGCATTTTTATTAAGTGTGTTTATGGCGGGGGCGAAGGGGAAGAGAACAAAGATTTTAAAAGTAGATACAGTAAGATTTAATTTCTGTACATAAAGAGTAAATATTTACTAATGTTGACATAGACATAAAACTTACCTGGAAAGACTACAAAGAGAGAGTGCGGTTTGGGAGAGAAATACATTTTATTTTATGAATTTTTTTTAAATAATAAGGTTTTATCTCATTTTACAGTAAAAGCTAATGAATAATAACACTTACCTCTCAAGACAAACATTATAAGAAATAAAAGGAGACCGGATAAAAATTAATATGACATGATGAGCATTGTAGGGCTACTTTACAGAGCATTTACAATGGGTATTATACTCGAGTACAGAATATAAGGGCAAGAGCTTTACTGCTCATAAACACTCAACAAAAGGTAGAAGGGAAAGGTGAGACTGCTCTCCGCTAGCAATTCCCTCAGTGTTGCGAGACGCGTCAGAGCTGGCAGGGGCGCAGCCTGCGGCCTTACCATTCGATCATGAGGAGGCGGTTGAGGCAGTCTTCCCCACAGGCCGCCTCGCCCTGGGCCCTCTCCTCTTTAGAGAGCGGCGCACACTCGCACTGCATCCGCTTGATGTCCCGGTGGGACTTGCTCTTCTTCCTAGCGGGTGAAGGTTTACAGAGACGGTTAAACAGACATCCCGGCAATGACACTGCACACACAGTCAGACAATGTGCTAACTCCCACTGGCTTCACACTCAATGATTCTGGGCACCTCAATCTTTCAAAAGGAAGAAGACATCCAATCACTAGAATTTGTGAGACCGGAACATGACTAATTATTTTGCAAAAAAGATGAGAGGCAACATGAACCCTGGCAGATGGGACAAGGGGTAAGTTCAAGTCTGTCACTTTGTACTCAGCCCCTATTCCCTAGTCCAGGTCAGCTAAGCCTGGGATTTTGTGCAATTTCACGTGTTAATACTCAACGTTTGGCTCAGGAGAAAAACAGAAAAACCCACGAGTACCAAATAGTGATATCGCTAATTAAAGAGTTTAAAAATCAGTCCTCAAGGATGAACAAATAACAGCTGAGACACAGGCTGAGGAAGAAAGGGCGTTGCTAAAAAAAAAAAAAAAAAATTTTAAATTAAGAGTTTAACTCAAATCTTTCAGAGAATCTTTCAGCAACATCACATTTGTACAAATCCTACTTAAAAGAAAAATGAACTATTTAAAAAAGAATTTAAACCTCATTTACAAATAAACGTAAATGAATATAACTGTAGGAAGTCCTTTACACCAAAAGGGGGAGTTATTTTTAAATAGAAAAAAATTTCTGATGGGACCTAACTTTACAATGAGATCTTTTATCTCATCCACGATATAAAATAAAGCCCTGGCCAGTTTGGCTGTGGATAGAGTGTTACCCTGTGAACTGAAGGGTCCCGAGTTCAATTCTGGTCAGGGACACATGCCTGGACTGCGGGCTCGATCCCCAATAGGGGGCATGCGGGAGGCAGCCGATCAGTGATTCTCTCTCATCATTGATGTTTCTATCCTTCTCTCCCTCTCCCTCCCTTCCTCTCTGAAATCAATAAAAATATATTTAAAGAAATAAAAATTCCTCATCAAAAAAATTTTGAATACTTAATGGGATGGCAAGGTTAAACTAGAGGAAAAATTTCCATAAGGAGAAAGTGGTTAGTTAGAAGACGACAGATTTTTTTTAAAAGGCAGATTCAGCATATATTTATATTGGGAAAATGAGACTAGTGCAAGGGGGGAAAGCAAGCATATGAGAAGTTCTGGAGTAAGTAGAGGAATATGTTTTCATTACTCCTATTCTCATTATACCTTGTTTCATGTTAGGGGTTTGTGACAAACCATTTTAACATCTATTTCTGAAACATCTGTTCTGCTATTGCCAAATTTAACCTATTAACAATAGGCTAAAAAGCCTGACAAACCCATATTCTACCCTAGTTCCAGCTGCACAAAGTAAAGACACTTCATTCCGAACTTTTTTGAAAAGTAGAGGGGAAAAAATCGAAACTAACTACTTTTTACTTCTCTAAGAGTAGATTATTTTAGTACAGCTTGGTTTCATCTTCTGCCAGTTTCACATGTAAAAGGAATTATTTAAAAATTGGTTGGCCGCCCTAACTGGTTTGGCTCAGTGGATAGAGCGTTGGCCTGCGGACCAAAGGGTCCCAGATTCGGTTCTGGTCAAGGGCATGTATCTTGGTTGCGGGCACATCCCCAGTAGGGGATGTGCAGGAGGCAGCTCATCGATGTTTCTAACTCTCTATCCCTCTCCCTTCCTCTCTGTAAAAAATCAATAAAATATATTTTTTTAAAAAAATTGGCTGGCCTAAATTATACTTCTAGAACTATAAGGTAATGAGACAAAAAAGAAAATGAGACACTCCTCTGGGGATGGGGGGATCTAAATAAGTAAATACACGTTAAAAATCTACGTTTTAGATTTTTCTATTTATATTTTATCATGCAATTACATTTCCTACAATGAAGGTCATATATTCCGAATTGTTGAAAACTAATGTTTTAAAAAGGTTAAAATTTGTCAGATTATTAATGATGTTTACCTTTCTGTTAAATAAACATTTTCTTCAATCAGATCAAAGTAACAAGGCATCTTCCCCTGCTTGGCGCATTCCTTCCATCGCTGGGGGTCTCTGAAGTCCTCCATGACACAGGAAGGCCCGGCCAGCGCGGAGCCTGGGGGCGCTGCCGTCTCGCACAGCTGTGCCTCCACTCGCACCTTCTTTCTGTCCTGAAGCTCACCATCACTTTCAGAATCACTCTCCAATTCCTGCCTCCTTTTTTTAGGAGGCCCTCTATCTTTCATATCATTTTTTTCTAAGTTTTTTGAAAGAGCTTTCTTGTCATTTATGACTAATGAGTCCTTAATGGAATTGCTGCTTATTTCAGGTGCTTGCACTGACCCCTTGTCCTGCTGAAGGGATACACAAAATTTACCGGACTGGCTTGAAAACTGTGATCCTACCCGAGGGTCCCAATTCTCTTCCTCTTCACGATCATCTGTTAAGGAATCTGGTACCTGACCTTGAACTCGATCATACACAACCCCAGTTCCAGGAGGTCTACCTGCTGACCTGGGATCCCAGTAGCCATTGCCTTGCCAGGAACTCCGTGTCCCAGCATAGGGCTCTGTGCCCTGCTGATACTTGTGTCCAGCACGGCCTCCATAGCTGCTGTCAGGCTGCTGGTACGTGGTCGTCGGCTTTTCTTGTGGAGAGAAGTCCCAGCCCATGTTTCTGAGCTCTTCCGATGAATGGAAGCCATCCACTCGGGAGATCTCGTAAGAGGAAGAGAAATTCAATTCTGTTCTTCCCAGTCTACTATCTGGCCTATCAGGGAAAGGGGTCTGTTGCCAACACTTATTTTGAACATCTTCAAAATCATCAGAAGAATAAAGTGGCAACTCCTCTTGCCTGGAAGCTATTTTGGCTCTCAGTGTTTCTTCAAAACCTGGGTGACCTCCAGGGTCCGACTTTACATCAGAATGACTTGTACTATCAACTCCGTCACTCTGAGGGTGAGCAACTTCAGTCAGGTGGTTGTCTATCTGCTTTCTGCTCATCTGTGCGAAACACATTTCTGGACTCTTCTCTGTTCCTTTATGAAGGAAGAACTTCTCCGTTTGAGGACAGGCTTTACTTGCTATGCTCTCAAATTTTTCCTCATATGAATGCCTCCTTGGCTCCAATCTCTCATCTTCCCAGTGGTCAGAATAGTGTCTGTAACTGTGACTGCTCCGAGAAGAACACGGACTTGCTTCTTCCATGGGCAAAGTCGAATTCTTTGGCACAACCACCACCGACTGAAGACGGTTCCTGGGAATACTGCTGTCGTCAGAATCTGTCTCTTCCGAATCGCTTTCATCACTTGAACTTTCAGAGGAACCAGAATACTCTTCGTGAACAGTAGACACGATCTCTGAGGCATGACCACTACTGTCACACTTTAAGGTGTATGTCATATACTCGCTGTCTTCCGTGGTTAAATTCAACTCACAAGAAGAAAATACAACTTCTGAATCATCAGAAGTGTGTTCATGTCCTCTACCTCCTTCTTCATCTATAGAGATTTCTGGTCTTCCTCTTTTATCAGGCAATATGCTATTCCCTTCTTCTTGAGCCTCATGCAGACATTTCCCAGAGAGCCCATTATTATGCCTGTTTTCCCAGGAAGCAACCCCCCTACCTAAAGCAGGAAGGCCACTGCCTACTTCTAGCATTTCTTTTTCTCCATGCTTTGCAAACTCTGTGCTTTTACTCTTCAGAACAGCACCCAAAACTGGAGATGTGTTCTCTCCACATTGCAAGAGAGCTAAACTGTCCACTGTTATTCCTGGTGGAAGACTCTGAAGAGATGAAGCAATGCCTGAACTCTCTATAGGTTGATATAAATCATCAAAATGATTAACAGAAGCCGAACTAGTGCTACCAACACTCTTATATTCCTTACATGCAAATTTTGAGTGCTGATCTGTCAGACTTCTATTATCACATATAACTGTTTTTGATTTCAAATGTACATTCATAAAGCTATTTGAAGAAATCTTCCTAACTGGAGGCTCAGTATCTTCAGCTGCAGAATGACACAAAGAAAGGTTGTTGTCATTTGAAGCACAATACACATCTGAATCTTTGGTTTTACAGCTAGAAACTCTCATATCAACTGGTTCTTTAACTACTGTTTTGCAGTAATCTACAGTCATAACAGGCAACGACATGAGTTTATCTTGGTGTGGTGACACCGGAGGTTCTGCTTCTCTAAATGGGCTTTCTGCCTTACTACACTGCATGCAAGTATCGTCCAAGTCTTTTTCTTTACAACTGTCAATGTTCTGAAATCCATTTGATGAAAACACACATGCTTTGACCAAAGAGGATACCTCCGATCCAGTCACACTGTCATCAGAAGACATCAAGACAGTGTCAGTTTTAGAAGTGCAAAATGTTACCAAATCAGATTCTGCATCAGGAGATCCATTTATATTTAATTCCATGGGACAGTAACTTCTTAACTGATCATTCTTCACTTTAGATAAAGAATCTAATTCCTTAATACTATCATGGCTATCATGTCCTATAAATTCTGATTTAAAAATAGGCGGTTCTTCTAGCTTTTTAAAAGATGGTGAATCATTTAATCGATTTGATAGAGGAGGAGATCCCGTCTTTTCTCTTTCAGGAAGTTTACTAATCACCCTGACTTCACTACCCTTTGAACAATGAGTCTGTAAACTAAAAGAATGAGTGTGTTTGATTTCCTCAGTTAATTCTGCACAACAGAAAGAATTTTTTGATTTATCAGATTTGGATATAGATTTTGAAGGAGCAGGTTTATAACGGGAAGCACTGTTTTCGTGCTTGGAATATGATGACCCCCGTCGGAATCCCAGTTCATTAAGGGGAGAACAACACCTTTTCATTGCTTCATTTTCTGAAATCCTCCTGGATTCTCTTTCTGGTTTTGAAGAATACTTCCCTCTTTTCTCCATCTCTGAGTGAGATTCAGTTTTGCAGTCCCGATCGGATTTAGAATAGGACGATGATGTCCTTAGGTCTCTGTACGAGGAATGAGATGAGGTGCGCCTTGAGTGTGTCTTTTTATGCTCATCTTCGGAATCAGAACTCTCTCGTGCCCTGTTATCTGTATGCGGCCGAGAATAACGTGCCCTCTCTCGATACGGGGAACGGTAGCGACGATCAGAGTCATAATAATGGGATCGTTCCGACCGGGAATAAGATAAGCTAGTTCTAGAGCCTCTGTCAGATCTAGAACGAGATCTGCTTCGCCTTCGCTCTCTCTCTGATCTACAGCGAGAGGACATATACCGAGTATCTCTTTCAAGTTTTGAGTAACTAAAATGTTTGTCATCTCTTTCTGTTTTAGATCGGGAAGATTTCCCTAAATCCTCACTTTTTAAAGGTGCTACGCTCTTTTTTGAATCTCTTTCCTTTTCAATGCTTGCTGGAAATTTTAAATCATGTGATCTCTGACTTGAGGAAGTCCGGACAGAATCTTCATCAGATTCTGAACCAAGAAAGGTGCCTTCAGATTGTGAGGGTTTCTTCTTAGAACCTGTCTTTCTCAAGCTCAGACTCCTCTTAGAACTATCTGGACTTTCCTCCTCCTTCCCAATATGGGAATCTTCTTTCTGTAAGGGAAGATGTGCTTGCTCATTCAAAGTCGGAGCTATGTGTTCTTCTGAACTATTAGATACAGTGTCCTGCTTAGTGTCCACTTCCGAAGATTCCGGCTCAATTGTAACTGGTGGTTCCTTCAAGGCTCTAACTGCTGTATCTACCGGTGCTGTCATCAGAACCATTATCGGTGCATGTGGCAAGGCCACTGGCTCTGTTACTGGTGCTAGTGGTGAGGGTATTGTGGCTTGGGGGGGTGGAGGAGGTGGAGGAGGTGGAGATGAAGGTGGTGAGTCTACAGTTGTTGATTCTGCTATGACTGCTGGTAACGGTACTGTGGGCGGAGGTGATGTCACTGGTGTGGTCGTAGCTAGCAGTGGCCTGGATGTTACATGAAGCAGATGTTTCTTAAAATGAATTTTTCCCAATTCTACCCTTGATTTTGGTGGGGAAGAGTCTTCTGCAGTAGATACGGTCTCGCCAACGTCCACTTTAATTTTAGGGGTCAAGTCTACTTGAAGAGGTACAGCTGGGGAGGCTGGAGTATCACTTTGCTTGTCGTTGCCAAGTGCAGTCAGAAACCTGTTCGGCAAAGTCTTCTTTGTAAGGCTGAAGCTGAAGGACACCTTCTGTCGTCCCTGCTCCTCCAGATTGACTTTCGTCTTGGTGCCTTTGGGCAAAAACCGACTGGAAGCAACACCTTTGAACACCGGTCCTTTGATGAAACCTGTTTTCTGCACATTTTCAATCTTTGCCTATAAATGAACAAAACAAGCAGTTACTACCACAACACAGTTACTTTCAAATGGCTATCATCACAGTTTTAAACATCAGGGAAATTAAGTCTTTTGTTTTTTAATGACAAACAGTATAACTTTCAATAAGTACTTTAGTATTCTTTTTCCTTTATTGTCTTTATTGATTAAGGTATTACATATGTGTCCTTCTTCCCACCCCCCCCACCCCTGCCCCCATGTCTGTGTTCATTGGTCAGGCTTATATGCATGGATACAAGTCCTTTGGTTGCTCTCTCCCTCTCTCCCCACCATCCCCCACCTTCCCTCTGAGGTTTGACTGATCGCTGCTTCTCTGTCTCTGGATCTGTTTTTGTTCATCGGTTTATGTTGTTCATTATATTCCACAAATGAGTGAGGGCATGTGATATTTATCTTTCCCTGACTGACTTATTTCACTTAGCATAATGCTCTCCAGGTCTATCCAGGCTGTTGCAAATGGTAATAATTCCTTCTTTCTTACCGAAGTGTAGTATTCCATTGTGTAGATGTACCACAGTTTTCTGATCCACTCATCTGCTGATGAGCACTTAGGCTGTTTTCAAATCTTAGCTATGGTGAATTGTGCTGCCATGAACATAGGGATGCATATATCCTTTCTGATTGGTGTTTCTAGTTTCTTGGGATATATTGCTAGAAGTGGGATTACTGGGTCAAATGGGAGTTCCATTTTTAGGGGTTTTTTTTTGAGAAAACTCCATACTGTTCCCCACAGTGGCTGCACCAGTCTGCATTCCCACCAGCAGTGCACGAGGAGTACTTTAGTATTTTTAAAAATTAAAAAACATACTCCAAAATTTGGAAAATAATAAAGCCCCAAGTACCCACCTATGTTCCACAACCGAAGCCTCCCATCTCACTCACTGTACAGACGAAGTCTGAGGCCTTTCTGCCATCTCTGCCTTGGCACACTATCACTCTCTGCCTGGGCCCAACCCATCAGGCCACGCTGACGTGCAGTCTGATCCCACTGCATGCGGGACAAGTACAAACATGATTTAAGAAGATTCTCCTGCCCTGACCAGTCTGGCTCAGTGGATAGAGCATCGGCCTGCGGACTCAAGGGTCCCAGGTTCGATTCTGGTCAAGGGCATATACCTTGGTTGCAGGCACATCCCCAGTGGGGAGTGTGCAGGAGGCAGCTGATAGACGTTTCTCCCTCATCGATGTTTCTAACTCTCTATTCCTCTCCCTTCTTCTCTGTAAAACATCAATAAAATATATTTTTTTAAAAAGAAGACTTCTCCCTCCATTATTAGCCAAACCACCAAAGGAAAGTTAAAGGCATAACCTAGGGTATAGCCCAGAACTTCAGAAAAATCGACAACAGGCTCAAGCCTGAATTAAAGATGGACCGTTGCCATCTGCAGCATTCTTCTAGTAGATGTTCTCTTATCAACACTGGCTGTTTAAGAGAATAGTTTTCCCCCCAACGTGGTAAAATCTAAACCCAGCTTTCGAAATTATACAGTGGCCATTCAAGCGGAACAGTAAGTATCTTCACATGCATTCCCACAGAGCAGCATTCAAATACAGTGGGGCTTTAACTTACGAGTGTCCCGACCAACGAGTTTTTGTGAGATACCAGCTGTCTCTCTGCCGATTTTTTGCATTGAGTTGATAGAGTAATTTGAGTTAACGAGCTCCTTACTGAGCTTGGTCTCGGAACGAATTAAACTCGTAAGTCAAGGCTCCACTGTACTTATAAAAACAGATTCCACTTTTCAAATTAAATCTTCCCCGGAAGCTCAGCCCCTGAAAACAAGGTGAGAAATGGTCTCCAGCCTGGCGGGTGGCTCAGCGGTGGAGAGTCAACCCATGCACTGAGGACACTGGCTCAGTTCCTGGTCGGGGCACAGCCTGGGTTTCAGGCTTGATCCCCAGAAGAGGGTGTGGGAGAAACAACTGATCGACGCTTCTCTCTACCTCCTTCCACTCCCTTCTTCTTTCTCTCAAAGTCAACAACATATTTTTTAAAAAAAGAAAAGAAACTCTCCAGAGCCGAGGCCGGTTTGGCTCAGTGGATAGAGCGTCGGCCTGCGGACTGAAAGGTCCCGGGTTCGATTCCGGTCAAGGGCATGTGCCTGGGTTGTGGGCACTTCCCCGGTGGGGGATGTGCAGGAGGCAGCTGATCGATGTTTCTAACTCTCTATCTCTCTCTCTTCCTCTCTGTGAAAAATCAATAAAATATATTTTAAAAAAATTTAAAAAAAAAAAAAATTAAAAAAAAAAAAAAAGAAAAAGAAACTCTCCAGAGCTGCCGGCTTCCTTTATCTTGCCTAAAGCTCGGGAAGTGCTGAAATTTAAAACTATTTCCTTGATATATATAACGGCCCTCTCTAGAATAAGTTACTGTTGATCCAAAACCAAAATTAAACAAAAACCATTACTTCATTTCACATTCCAAATAGCAAAATTTTAAATGGTTTCAATTCCACAATTACTGAATAACTAGTTAAATTATACTTACCTCATTTTCTTCTTCTCTATTGTCATCCAGCCAAGAAAGCATGCAAAAGAATAGAAAAAAATCATAAATACTTAAGACCAATTGAAATGATACATACAATCTACAAGTATATTCTATATGGACTATCCATCCCTTCACGGCCTTGGGTACATTTCAACATAGCAAATATTTGTTTTCTATGCTAGGTGCTAGAAATAAAAGGTGAAAAAAGCTGCCCTAGAGAGAGCACTGGCCCATGGACTGAAGGGTCGTCGGTTCAACTGCAGTCAAGGGCACTTACCTCGGTGGCAGGCTCAAACCCCAGCCTTGGTCAGGGTACAGGCAGGAGGCAACCAACTGATGTGTGTGTCTCACATCAGTGTCTCTCTCTCTCTGTCTCCTCCCTCCCTTCCACTCTCTCTATCAATGGAAAAATATCCTCAGTGAGGATTAACAACAAAAAAGGTGAATAAAGCTGAGTCCCCTGCCCTTAAAAAGCTTATAGTTATAAATACAAAATATAATTTTGTTATAAAAGTAGGTACAAGGATAGAAATATGCTCAGTGCAACAGCAAAGAGTAAGATAAGGCCCAGCCGGGTGGCTCAGCTGGTTGGAGCAGCATCCGTGCAAAAGGGTTGTGGGTTCAATTCCCGGTCAGACAACCAATTGGTGTTTCTCTCACATCAATGTTTCTTTCTCTTTCTTTCTCCCTTCCTCTCTCTCTCTCTCTATCAGGGGGAAAAAAAAATCCTTGGGTGAGGACTAAAAAGAATAAGATTTAGTGAAAGGACAGGAATACAAAGAACCCTCCCTAAAAAAATCTAAATTTTTGAAAAATTTATTTGTAGGAAGACTGGGCAAAGGTACAGAGATTAAAACATAAAACTATTCATGTGCAAATAAACGCTAACAACTCCTATTACCAGAGTGTAAAGTGTAAAGCAGGAAGAAGCCGTTAGTCAGGTGGAGGAGGAGGCAGAGGCCAGGCCCAGAGGCCAGGCTCTCCTGAGGGAAACGTATTTGGTAAGTCTTACGGGTCATGGTTCTCAAGCCTCTTCGGTGTATATCCCATCGTTTCTTGCTGAGTGCTAGGTATACCTACTCTGCTGCACATCACAGCACGCCTCTCTCTGAGCTCCCAGTTCCCAGTTACGTCCTAACCAAGGTAACCACAATGACTTAGGAATCCAAAGCCAAAGGTCTGGTGTGCACAAGTACCCAAGGGCATGCGGGGGAAAGGAGAGCTACAAAGGGCTTAAGACTGACAGCCAGGTTTATATGCTAAGCAGGTGACTAAGCCGCTTGTGGCCCACAACAAATATTTTTGCAGCCCAGCCAATATAACAGTAAGTAAGAAACATTTTAATCAGAATTTTGTAACTTAATTTTTACAATATCCTGTTAAACATAATTATCACCGTGTTGCATTCATTTCCCTTACACACAGGCGCACCATTTCTCCCCACTAATACTAGCAGCGAATATTTTAGCAGCCAATGGCCACATCATTAGTCTTGGCCTCACTTGTTAGGTGTGCACAACAGGAAATATTTCGCTTTCGGAGAACAAGAAAAATAGGTTTATTTGCATTACGCTTATTCATTTGTGCAGTTATTCAGTGTCTGGTAAGTTAATGTTAAAGAAAAAATATTCATTTTTATTAAAATGTTCTATTATTTTATGTTAACGATGACTCATTTATTTCAGCCCTTTGTATTCAGCATGTCTCTATTGAAATAAACCTACATTTCTAGGAAAATTGAAGCTTTTGGGGTTTTTTGTGGCCCACATACACTTAAACCTTGTTCATTTGGCCCATGTGAGCCTCTGAGTGTGACATGTGTGCTGTAGGCTATGTAGCAAGACTGGCATGCATACAGGAATGCTTTAAATGGCCCTTAAAAGAAATGTGCCAAAACCTTCCCCCAAATGTAGGCCTAACGCCACCATAATTCAGTTCATTCACCAGTGTCTAAGGCAGCCATACAAAACCAAGTAAAAAAGGGTAAAAAAAAAAAATAATAAGTTAGTCATGAAACCTGAAGCAGTGCCTAGGCTAAACACTTTTTTCTACTCCATAGAAACGACTCAAAATTTCACAGCCATGCCCTGGCTGGTTGCTCAGTGGTTAGAGCGTCGGCCTGCGGACTGAAGGGTCCCGGGTTCGATTCCGGTCAAGGGCATTTGCCTGAGTTGCAGGCTCCATCCCCAGGAGAGGGCGTGCAGGAGGCAGCCAATCAATGATTCTCTCTCATCACTGATGTTTCTATCTCTCTCTCCCTCTCCCTTCCTCTCTGAAATCAATCAATCAATATATATACATATAAATACCTGTAGTCTTCAAGGCATCACATACATTAAAAAAAATTCACAGCCGAGATGGAACAGCTGCCTTTCTCCGTGCTGTGGTGCCCTTCTCAGGTCGCACCTGGCAGATGCATCGCACCAGCAACAGCATCACGTGTTCGTGGCAGTGTTCCTCCTCTCAGTGATTCATGAACTCATGTGTCTCACAACCCACGGCACTGGATCTGATTTCAATCCGTACAATGTGGAGTTTTCAAACCCTTGCAGTGCCATCTCTGTCTCTGCTCCTCCCTCAGTGGGCACTCGAGCGCATCCATGCTTGTCTGCATGGACCCTACACAGGAAGTGCTGGAGATCTGAGGAGACGGAACCCTTTCCCCAGCCTCAGCCATTTTACTCTCAACAAGCAAATGAAGAGAAAATCCTGACAAACTGTGAAGAAAGTAATGACACAGTCAAAGGGCTGAAGAGACATTGTACATGTGGAACTGGCTGGGGGGAGGGTTCATTTCAGAAATCAGACAACTGCTAGACAGAGATGGCAAGACATATCCCTTAACTTGATAATAAAATAAAAAGTTTATAATAAAAAGGGTATAAGCACGAAAATTTGGAGAAAAGATCAAGTTTGTCATCCTAAGGGCATTTCATGTTAATAAAGAAAAGTCAAATTACAAACAAACAGAAAGTGTCAGAGCCGGGTTAGCAGTAGTGTCTGAAAACAGTACAGAAAGGGACAGAAAAGGGCAGTGCAGCGCCCAATCCACAGACTCTGAGCACGCTGGAGACAGGAGTCAGATCTTTCTAACCTCATACTCATCGATGAGAATAAACTACATAGAAACTAGACCCCATGACAGAATATGAAATTGCAGAAGAAGGGAACTGTGAAGAGGCAAAACTCAGAGAGAAGACAGGAGAACTGGTTGATAACAAAAGGCAGGCACTAGTGCCACCCGAAGGCCACGGGGTCCCAGTTACACAGAGTGCATCCCAGCAGAGGCACAGCTAGCACTCGGAGCCCTTCTCAAGGACTCAGTGATGACCTCACCATGAGGAGAAAAACAGGATTTTACAGCTTGTTTATTTGTTTAGGTTTGTTTCCATTTTAGTGTTCATTTCTTTTTTAGGTTTCTAAATCTGTGGCCTCCTCAACAAGCACAAATGAACACATCTGACCTGCAGGAGAAGCTGGAACTGCACTGAAGTCATGCATGTTTCGACATTTATACACTTGGCCACTTACAGTGCCAAACATTCAAGACTTAAATTTAAACGCCTCAGACAGTCAACGATATGGAAGAGCACGTCAAAAAGAAAGTCTTCATAAGAAAAGTTTTTATCACAAAAAATCACATCTACCTAGTTCCCTGCTTAGTTTATGGTCGTGCATGTGCACGTTTGCAAACCTCTTCTAAGCAGAGTTAGTCCTTCAGGAGCCCAAGGTTTTGATTGGGCAATAGGTGTCCAGCTGACTACCATGAGTTAGCTGGGCTTAAGGCAACTGTGGCATACAATCACCCATTGCCCAATGGCTGTTTTAGAAAGGCAACTCTGTGAACTGTAAGTACAGTACTCCTATTGATCACAAGGCTGTTTGTTCAGCAGTTACTAAGGATCTACCTTTCTCACCCTGGCCAGTTTGGCTCTGTGGATAGAGCGTCGGCTGCAGGTTGAAGGGTCCCAGATCTGATTCTGGTCAAGGGCACATGCCCAGGTTGCGGGCTCGATCCCCAATAGGGGACGTGCAGGAAGGAGCCAATCAATGATTCCCTCTCATCATTGATGTTTCTCTCTCTCTCCCTCTCCCTTCCTCTCTGAAATGGATAAAAATATATACTTTAAAAAAAGGATCTACCTTTCTCTCAAGATAGTATTAGTTCTGTAAAGGCCAGAGGTCAAGTTCACCCACAAGGAATTTCACACTTTACTTGAATATGGTATAGGATATACAAAGTAACTATAATACAATGTAAATAATTGCCATAAATGAAAAGACTAATAAGGGGCTTTCTTTTAAATTTTCCTTTTTTCAGTTCATCCTACTCTCACTTTCCTGATTTCCTGCATGAAAGCACATCTTCTTTAGTATTAATTACTTTGCTTACTAGCATGGTAATATAACATGGCAAAAAGATCAAACTTCCATGATACCTAGGTTGCAATCCTGTTTCTACCATTTACTAACACTGTGACTTGTGCCACTCAATTTCCTTTCTTACTCCCCTAGATGCCTAGCCCCAATTTCTGTCACTACCATCTCCCTGATCACTATTTAAAAAAAAATAAATGTTTTGCCCTCCTGGTTGGCTCAGTGGCTGATCGTCAACACAGGAACCAAGAGAGCGCTGTTAGATTCCCAGTGAGGGCACATGCCCGGGTTGCAGGCTCAATCCCTAGAAGGGAGCGTGCAGGAGGCGGCTGATCAATGATTCTCTCTCACCACTGATGTTTCTATCTCTCTATCCCTCTCCTTTCCTCTCTAAAAATCAATAAAAACATTTTTAAAATTTTTTATTTATTTCAGAGATAGCGAGAGAGAAACATAGGTGAGAAACACTGCTCAGGTGATTCATGCATGCCCCTGCCAGGCATGTGCCCCTCTGGGATCGAACCGGTGGACTCCTGGTGCATGGGACGATGCTCAACCAACTGAGCCACACTGGCCAGGCTCCCTGACCACTCTTAGATGATGATCTCACCACTTAACTCAGTGTCCTCTCCCTCT